CTGAATGATCCTTAGGGAATCTAGAATAAAGTTTGTGTTTTATTTTATGTTTCCTAAAAAAACATGGCCGCCATGGCTAAAAATAGAAAAAAGGGTAAAATGCAGTTTTTGGCTTATATCTCAAAAACTAAAGCATTTAGAGCAAATCTGACTGGGCTAAAATGTTTATTAGGTCAAGTTTTATCAGCCCTAAAATGTTCAGATGAATTCAACAGCCCATTGTTGGGTTGCTGCCACAAAATGGTAATGTTAAGGAAATTTTGCAGTTTTTGGTTATTATCTTGAATATTATTATAGATAAAGATAAACTGTAAACAGCAAAAATGTTCAGCAAAGTAAGATTTTCAAATAAGTTTTATGACCAAAATTGTCAATTGATCCCTTAAGGAGTAAATGCCCTTTAAGGACAATTTTACCAAATTTGTTTATCATGTTTTCTAACTTTAAAATATCTTCTCCTCTGAAAGTACTGAACCAAATTAAACCAAACTTAAGCTGAATCATTCTTAGGTTATCTAAAATAAAGTTTGTGTTTTATTTTTTGTTTCCTTAGAAAACATGGCCGCCATGGCTAAAAATAGAACATAGGGTAAAATGCAGTTTTTGACTTATATCTCAAAAACTAAAGCATTTAGAGCAAATCAGACAAGAAATTAAAGTATTTATTAGGTCAAGGTTTACCTGCCCTGAAATTATCAGCCAAATCGGGTATCTGATTTTTAGGTTATTGCCCCTGAATTGATGATTTTAAGGAAATTTTGCAGTTATCTGTTATGATCTTGAATATTAAAATAGATAAAGATAAACTGTAAACAGCAAAAATGTTCAGCAAAGTAAGATCTACAAATAAGTTGAATATGACCAAAATTGTCAACTGACCCCTTAAGGAGTAATTGCCCTTTAAAGACAATTTTTCACAATTTGTTCATCTACTTTGCTTTCTTTAAAATATCTTTTCCTTTGAAACTATTGAATCAATTTCTGCCTAGCTTGGGCTGAATGAGTTTCAGAGTATCTGGTATAAATTTTGTATTTTATTTCCATGTACGTCAAGAAACATAGCCATTATGGCTAAAATGTAACAAAGGGGTAAAATGCATTTTTTTGCTTTTGAAGAAAATATGACAGATACATAAAACATTTAAATGGCATTTTTAAGCCACTCATTAATATATATTGAAAAGCAAAAATAATCATTGATGAAAGATTTAAGCAAAAATTACAGATGAACGATTCATGCTCTTGAGAGCCTCTTGTTATATACCTTACATGTGAACTTCATATGGCTTTCCTAAAACTAAAATTTCATTTTTTAATAACAAGCACGGAATTATATAAATAACAGAAGATTGAGTTAACAAAAAATAACCGACTGCAACTCATACAGGGCTCTTCTAGCAGAATCAAAAGAAGCTATGATTATGTTCACATTTCGTAATAAAGATAATGTCCTATGTTTGAACAATTCAGAGTTTGATGACCTCATTTGACTGAACTTGAAATTAAAGATGCCAAAGATAATGATAAGCCTGATTCATATCTAGTCTTGCATAAGGAAATTAACATTGAGGGTCGGATGAGAAGTTACTTGTTGATTTTAATATTCGCACTCTAACATTCCTGAGCCACCCAGGTTCTATTCTACTTGTCGTAATCACGTCATCTTTTCATCCATTGTACATGATTGTAACGAATGCGACTAAGCGTAGGAGTTTTAATTGCCAAGAACAATACGACGAATCGAAAAGGAACGATTTCTCTTAGGTAAACTGAATTCGCCCCGTAAGTGTTCTGGGTTTTGTGTTGCATAAGGTCTATTTGTTAGTTTAATGTTTAGTAGATTTTGTGTGTATAATAGAAAAACAAAGGATATGGGGTATCCATCTATGACACAAAATCATTCCATACACAGCAAAAAAAACACACAAAAAGCAAAGGAACAGCGCTTTTTTCTTCTCGTCATTGTGCCGTCTGTTTTTTGTACTAATGTCATTTGATAGCCCCTTGGAATCGTCCCCTTTTTGATATTTAAAGCAAGCATACAACCACTTGGAATACCGGCGTCGTAAAAACTCATGTAACACTGATAACTCATTTCGCAAGATGCCCGTTTCGTCTACACTAAACTCATCAGTGGCGTTTTAATCAAGGATTGGAATGCCAAATAAATTACGAAGGGCAAACCAGAAACTGAACAACATAGTGACAAATGTGCCAAGTAATGGAAAAATCTTAGTGTTTCGAATGATTTTACAGTTGTGCCCATTGTAAATTTACAGAATATGACCATATTAATGAGATTTCATTTCAGCACAGTAGTGCTGACTTCTTGGTTGATATTACCCTTTCTTGACAAAATGTCAACAGAGTTGCGTCGACCCAGTATTTGTAAAAACTCGTCACAGATGCCAGGGTTATAATAAAGTATGGTGAATGAGCGTTTCATCTACAAAAGACTCATCAGTGACGTTCTTATTAAAACAGTAATATTTTTACTATGTTTATAATCATGTCACTATTCCTTTTTCTGAATTTTTTTTTTACTTGATCATATGTTCGAAAAAAATTCCTTTGTATTTTCACTTGTTTTATTGGTAAAATTAAGTATCTTTTAAACATTTTAAGGGCAAAAACCAATCAAGTCGATGGTAGGAGCCGTTTATATATTGTTGTCTGTAAAAGACAACCGCATTGTATAAATCTGAAAAAGCAGATCGACCAATGACATTTATATCTGCAACAATCGGTAACGAAATATTAAGTTCTTTGCATGCAATTCGAAATTGAGATCAAATTGCAATAGTTAGTGAAACTGACATGTAATTCTTTTTTAAAACACGTGCAGACACCAAATCTTTACTAAATGAAAGCGAGCCTGATATTTTGCCAGGAAAACGATAGGCGAAAGATACCAAAGGGATATTCAAACTCATAATTCGAAAACAAACTAACAATGCCATGGCAAAATACATAACAAAAAACTACAAAAACAAAACACAACATAGAAAACTAAAGACTGAGCAACACGAACATTTAAGAAAGGTAAACCATTACAGATATTGTTATGATTATTTCTTTTTGTGATAAAAGTGCTAAACAATTTTAAAGCAACTATATGCACAGGATTTATTTGTTTTTACACAGTGTGATTTAGAAGAAAAACCGACATGGTCATAAAATACAAATAATTACACCATTACTAACACAATTCTATATTAATATTCTTGTAATGGTTAGAAAATACATCAAATAACACCATTACAAACTTAATCCCAATTTCATATTCTATTTTTAGAAATTTACCTGTGACGTCACTTTTTGTGGCGTTGATACATTCGTGGGACGCCCAGTTCATTATTCTATTGTGCTGTATTTGTGTTGTATCGTAAATTAATTTTAGGTATTCGTTGTTATTCTGTGGTTTGCATGTTGAAATGTACTATTATATTATTTATTTATGTATTTCTCTGTCATGAATGTTCTTGCATTTATTTGTACTGTATTCCTGTCACGTAATGTTGTCATTTTAGCGGTATTTTTAACATTGTCATATAAGCGGGAGGTTTGGCTAGCCATAAAACCAGGTTCAACCCACCATTTTTTTCTTAAAATGTCCTGTAACAAGTCAAGAATATGGCAGTTGTTATCACATAGTCCGTTGGTATTTTGGCGTTTGTTTTTGTAGCAGTTCAGCGTTTCTGTTGTTCTGTTTTGTTTCCTCTTACAGTTGATTTGTTTCCCTCAGTTTTGGTTTGTGACCCTGATTTGTTTCAGGTAAATCGATTTATGACTATTGAACAGCGGTATACTACTATTGCTTTTAATTTCCTTCATTATTTACGTAAATGCAACTTTAGCCGTAACCAATGCTTTTATAATTTTTCAAAGATCTCCTCTGATCTGCAACATGTTTAACTACTACACCTGGTACTGCATGACAATGTCGATACGGGAATGTTGAATGAGTGTTTGTCGAAAGAGAATGAGGAGCTCAGTTGTGCTTTGCACAACATTATACTGGCCACAGTTGTTTGCATTAAATGAGTTCTATATGCAAGGCAAACCAGAGATTGTCGGACATATTGGGTTCCTAAATCTTGAAAAATGTAACATTCGTGCACTTTTCTTGTTTTATGCTTGAAGCTTATAAGAAGCCTAAATAATCAAAATTGCATGCATTAGATAAAAGTGCAGTTTTGTTTGTTTGGTCCTCAAAACTTGAAATCTGTAGAAACTGCTCAGTTGTTTAGCAACCTGAGGTTTAACAAACCTGATCACCATTGATTCATTATTGACCTTGTGTCAATACATTTTTTAGCCTTGTTTTCTTTCAGACTTATTTCTAAAGTATTATTGTTGCTCCTTAACACATCTCATTATACATAAGTATCCCTATTCAATTGGAGTGTGTTTCTATACGCACAGGACAACTTAAAAACAAGCAAATATCCATCTACTATTGTGGTTTGAAAATAGAGTCAAGAAATATTATAAGTAAAAGTAAATGATTACTAGATTGACTATGATAAACTAAGATAGATTTAAATACTTTTTTAAAAGAAATTTTTATGATAATTTGTGACAAGACTTACGAAGCATTGAGCATTAACGTAAAAGGTTATCAAATGTACAAACAATTGCGCAAGTTTTTGCAACTTAGCAGGACATTTTAGACATCCTACTTGTGTGACGCTAATGATGATCAAACTTTTAAATAAAATCGTTTTTAGAAACTTTATCTATATTGTAAATAAAAACTTAACCATGGAGGCTCAATAATTAAATTACCAACAATTATATCTTACAAAAATATGCTTTAAATACCTGTTGAAAATTAATATTATAAACGAACGTAATAAAATTATTTAAACGTGTTATAAAAGCCGACAACTTTGAGTACAGGAAGTTTAGACGTTGCTACGATAAACAGTGAGAATAAGTAGACAAAAATATGCTTTAAATACCTGTTGAAAATTAATATTATAAACGAACGTAATAAAATTATTTAAACGTGTTATAAAAGCCGACAACTTTGAGTACAGGAAGTTTAGACGTTGCTACGATAAACAGTGAGAATAGGTAGGCAGCATTTATAGTATTCGTAGTCTATCAAGACAGAAAAAAACATAACATCTTTCATTTTAAAATTTTCTGATTTTAAAATACAATCGACCCAAAAGTATCAATCAATTTTATTTTTCTTTCATTTCCATATTGTATGTAAGGTTTTCACTACAGGTTTTTAGGGGGATTCATATGTTATGCTGTTATTTCCAATTCCAAGTTAGGGGGCGCTAAACATATGAAAAACAGACGTGACACGATTGCCAATGAGAGGACTATCCATTAAAAATCAAAGGAAAAAGACGTGAACAAATACAGGCCACCGTACGGCCTTCTTTAATTCCATAAAATATTGTATGTTTGTTTGCTAAGTCAGGGGCCCTTTGTCCATCGGTTGTCGTTGATAGCCATTTGACTCAATGGAACACAATATCTGTCAATTTCAAAAGTACTTCTATCTTATTTGTTTAAATGAAAGTCATGCCTGCTTTTTTCCAATATTTCAGATACACTTATCGAAACTCTCAAGATTCCTAAATACATGTGTTCAATGTGATCCCTGTCAGTGCACCTTGCTATCCAGTTCCATGATAAGTGTTTCACAATGTGCATATTTTTTAGTACATCTTGTGTCCGCTTAATATTATTATTTTTCATAATCCCTCAGCGTACTGTTTGTTTTTGTATTATTGATAAGAGTACTAATATCGTTACATTTCAAACCAGAAATAGCAGTACAACTGTATAGTGTATTAGAATGAAATAAGATAAATCAATCCAAGAATTATAGAAATTCAGAATTACGTGAAATAGTTTTTGCTTTATTCATATTCTTGCAATTTCTATGATGAGTTTATTTTCATTAAAGGGATTAACTTGATGAATCAGTTAAATTTACCAACTTGTTTAAATCTATATTATTATATATTATACAAGTCAACGTGTTTCTTTTCTTTTAAAGTTCATGTATATTTATCATTTAATATAAATACAGAAAATAGACAGCCAACGTAAAATATTAAATGCCATGCAATGACATCCTATATTTTAGATCAATGTCCATTCATTCAACCAGAATATATAAAACAGTATTTTTTTATACCAGTTAAAATATTTAAACCCAAATTTAAATGTGTTTTATCTTGAAATACAAATTAAGCCAATGATTTAGATTTCCTAGCATAAGAAAATTGCAGTAGATCTTGTTCGTCTTAAGGTGTAAAAATAAAAATCTACTGATCAAGATCAATAGCATTCTTTAGGAATATGTACTTACGTTTTTGCATTATGTTACATTCTTTTGCAAAGTTGTCAAATTTCATGTATTAAACTACGATTTCCATACACAGAGGATAAATATGCATAATAAATAGATTACAAGAACTTACAAGTTCCGCATATCTTTAATTTTTCCATCATTTGAGCATGTTGAATTTGCAATTTTATTGAACTAAAACTGTTTATTTTTTTCCTAATGCTCGGAGATTTCAATCAAATTTGAAAAACAAATTACTTTACGTGATGAATAACGAAAACTTTAAAATGTAACGTTCATTTTATGGTTTGTATGATTATGCCGATTTTTTGGTTGCTGATTTAAACTCCATCTTTATTGTCAGAAAAAATATAGAAGAAAAGTTATGAAATTTTCTGAATGACGACAGCAAATTTCTTATATATTCTTGCCTTTCTTTGCCAAATTTTCATTCTAGTGGACTACAACTTTGCATATTGGTTCATGATTTTACATGAAAAGAAATTGTAATATTCATTAATGACAATAGCAAAACAAATACATTTAACTTTTCGTTTCCATTCTGACGCATTAAAACTATACTTTGTTTGTGTTCCAGGTTGTCAATAAAATGTGGAAAACATATTTTCTTCATACACGATCACTCTAGGACAATCCAGTTTTTAATTAAGATATAAAATTGAGAATGGAAATGGGGAATGTGTCAAAGAGACAACAACCCGACCATAGAACAGACAACAGCAGAAGGTCACCAACAGGTCTTCAATGCAGCGAGAAATTCCCGCACCCGGAGGCGTCCTTCAGCTGGCCCCTAAACAAATATATATACTAGTTCAGTGATAATGAACGCCATACTAAACTCCAAATTGTACACAAGAAACTAAAATTAAAAATAATACAAGACTAACAAAGGCTAGAGGCTCCTGACTTGGGACAGGCGCAAAAATGCGGCGGGGTTAAACATGTTTATGAGATCTCAACCCTACCCCTATACCTCTAGCCAATGTAGAAAAGTAAACGCATAACAATACGCACATTAAAATTCAGTTCAAGAGAAGTCCGAGTCTGATGTCAGAAGATGTAACCAAAGAAAATAAACAAAATGACAATAATACATAAATAACAACAGACTACTAGCAGTTAACTGACATGCCAGCTCCAGACTTCAATTAAACTGATTGAAAGATTATGTTTTCATCATATGAATATCAGGCAAAATCCTTCCCGTTAGGGGTTTAGTATCATACCATCATAACATATATGAGAAGAACATAACCCGTGTCATGCCAACAACTGGTTTTTAAATAAATGTGTTTAGTGCCGATGCAAAGACCCTATAAGTGAATCAATATTAACGCCAAAATATGCAATCTTTAATGACCTGACAACAGTATCGTAACTATATCCCTTCTTAATAAGTCTGTTTAAAGGTTTTGTTAGCTTCAGAGGTGAATACTGACATTTTTGTGCTTTATAAAGAATATTTCCATAAAAAATTGGATGTGAAATATCTGAACGTATAAGAAGTCTGCATGTTGAGCTATATTTAGGAATGATGTCCTTATACCGATGATAAAATTTAGTAAATGTTTTGACTAGTTTGTGATATCGAAAACCCTGGTGTAATAATTTTTCAGTAATACATAAATTTCTCTCGTTAAAATCTAAAACATTGTTACATACACGAGCGAATCGTACAAGTTGAGATATATAAACACCGTAAGATGGTGACAAGGGAACGTCACCATCTAAAAAAGGATAATTAACGATAGGAAATGAAAAATCATCTCTTTTATCATATATTTTAGTATTAAGCTTTCCATTAGTGATATAGATATCAAGATCGAGGAAAGGGCAGTGGTCATGTATATATATTGCTTGTACTTGTCAATTTGTTTTTATAGTACCACTATGAATTATCCCCGTCGGTAAACGAATATGATTGAAACTTGGCGTATTCTTTTGGAAACCCCTCCTGTTCTATAAAGTAACCTGCAAAATACGAGTGCTATAATATGTTTATTGTTGAAGACAGTATGTTACCATGTACACTAAATTTCTTTTGTTATTTTTTTCACTAGATTTTGGTCCCTGGCGTATAACTTTTATCTCTTTTTCAATTATATTAATTTCACCTTTTTCATTGATGTAATGAAAACATAATCAAGGGTAATCAAAATGGAAAGATAAAGTCGGCATTAGATATTCCTTTACTTTTTGTTCTGTCAAAACAGAGGTCTATGACAATATGATAGACCCACTTAAACAGTACATGTTCACGCTAAAAGAAAAAAAAACATTTATTTATCATCCCGGATCAACATCTGCGTCTGAGACTATTTTAAGGATTATTCACTATAAATATGTTTTCTTGACTAAAAACGATAAAGTAAAAAAATACATAAAGGGATAATACAATCATGAAACAGGAAATACAATGGTTAACAGAAATGATTAAAGCTCCCAAAACACTACACAGACAAGGAAGGTTCAACAAGTTACTTTATGTATTCATTTTTTTTCGACTTTCCATTTTCACATAAGAAAAGAATTGGTCTTTATCACAAACGCATTGATGATCTCCCCTGAAAAGATAGTATGGATCTATGGATGTGGCTGTGGCTAAGCAAGCATATTTTGTATATTTTTTATCCAAATTTAAAATTTTAAATGTTGGCTCGTTTTATAATGCTTTCTGAGTTATTACGGAAACCTTAAAGCTGCATTCGTGGTTATATCTTGTATGTCTAATTTCATGAAGGTTTTGTGAGTATTGTTTGCTTTATTGAACTGTCGGTTGGTTCAAAATCTATTTTACCTAATAAACAGACGGGAAAACATCGTATTTTTAAAAAGCCGGTATGATTGATTTGTTTGGTTGACGTCCAGTGGTATTTATTTTCTGCATACTCAAGACGATAACAAATTAAAATTTTTTATCAAAAAATAAAAAAAAAACAAAAGATAGGTTCTTCAAGGATAGAAAATGTGAACTGCCGCTGGAAAATAAGAGTATGTTTGATAAGAGCTTAAACTTCGGCTTGAAACATGCCACCTTCATACCGCCCAGACAGTATATAGGTTGCATTTCTGTAAATATTGACAATGCAATTTTCCATAAAAACTCCTCTTAAGGCTAAAACTGTACCACTTCTACTATGAAGTTTTGAAAAAAATCATATCCTAGAATGGAAAGTTCATATGCACTACAATTTTTTTCAATGGTCAAAATATAGGGCTGTGCGGCATATTTTCAACGTTTATTTGCCCCGAACTTCTAAGAGTTTAAACTAACACTAAATTTCTTAACTAATCCTAACTTGACTGTAGGATTACCACAGATTTCTATATAGACAATATGCATATGTATATTTACTGGTAACATTCCCAAGTTATGTCTCTATGAGATGAAACCTAGAGATCATAACTGGGAACCAGTATGTAAACAACATTAACTATCTATGAATTTTCTATATCTCCCCAAAAGAGGCGTGGTTTGAGAAACAGCTGTATTTACAAAGTGCAACCTATAAGGGTTCTTTAAGTGTGGAGAGTAAGGCAGTCAGTCTACACGGGTCATTGTGATGATTTAACATCCTAAATCCAACCGGACGTGGCTACGAATTTATACATCCCAAACAGACGCCTTACTTTAGAGTGTTATTGTCCGTACGATAGAAAAACAAGGATGACCCTATTTTTATACCCATGTGAACCTTTGGTATAGTTTATCATAATCATAAAACAATGTCATATAATGCATCTACAATATTATCACAGATGGCAAAGCTCCAGAGTATTTATCCCTAGTTTTCAAATTTTTATGTATGAGTGTTCTTTATGTGGATAAATCCAGAAAAGTTTTTCGGACGCACAAAATTTATAAAGTGTTTATTTCATTTACTAGTACTTGTTCAATACCACTGCTGGTAGGTTGTAAGTACTCGAGGGTATCATCAGATCAGTAATCAGTGCTTCGGTACTGACATGATTTTTAACATATACTTATTTAAAACTACCCGTTCATGAATTAAGAAATTATCAAGAAATTATTAAGAAATTAAGGTTCCTACTCACTCACGTTCACCATAGATGAATTTGGCTATTCTGCTAAGATCTTTTATTGGTCTTATACCGCTTAACATTTAAGCTTATTTATGCATCTCTGGCTTTCAATTGATTAAGGTTTAGCGTAAATCCAGAAGAGCGCTTCGGATGCACAAATTTAAAAAGTGTTAATTTCATTAATACTATACTATCTGGAGTTTTTTATTATATACTATATGGAATGATTTCCTATCAGTAATATAGTTTTTTTCTTTTGAAGAAAAAACCCGAACGATACAAAATTTCAATGTGTTTCAAAGAATGAAATTATCGCATGTGTAAAGTTGCTATTTACTCTGATTTAAATCCCAACTTCAGTCTGTTAACATATTTAATTTATTTAATTTTACATATACTAGTAGTAGTTATGTGTTTTGCATTCAATTGGAGTTTAACTGTACAATTTTCCTTCCTATGTATTCTTAAGTTCTGTTAATGTATCGCTACAATAAAGGGACATAGCATGAGAAAATATTATTAATGCAATATTTTTCTAAACACTTTTAAAACAGACCGAAATGTATCACATTCATGTGTAGGTCTGTTAAAAACAATAGTATAAATTCCTGTTGATTCACAACGTGTTGAAAATCGTTCAGTGACCTATCATAGATGTCAGTTATTCGTGTTACATGTACATTAGACGATTTCGTGCTATCTTTCGTGCTATTTCGAACTTTTTTTACATTGATACCTTTAACACAGGCCAATTACCAAAGATTTTCTTTTTTTTACACGGGAACAGCCATGTAACTTGTTGTAGGGGGGATAAAATATTTTATCATGATTATCAATTTTTGAAGAAGAAAAATATGCATTGCCAGCTGACAAAAAAGAGAAAATAATTATTCTGAATAAATTCATTTAAAATTGTTAAAAAAATAAGAGGTAAATTGTTAATGTGACTGGACAGGGATTTCAAATGTAAACATCTAGAATAGTGAGATATATTTCACCTAACTGAGCCGTTGGACGAGGTTATACATAAACGTATTAAAAAAGAACATCCTTCTTTAAAGTATCAGTAAAATTGGATGTAAATTCCGGCAAATCTTTGCAAAGAATAATATTTGTGGCGGTATATAAGTCTAATACATCATGGGGTCAGGGTTGCCCAAAGAAAAACTTCCCTTTGTTCATTTTTTCAATTGACCGATCCTGACATCCCCGAAATTTTTAATACAAATTATTTTTCCCGCCAAACGCCCTTTTATCGATAACTAGAAAATTACTACTGTGTTTTCGTGGAATTTCAAGGATTGAGTAAAGATTGTATTTTTATGGATTCTTGAAATCGTGGTTTCGACAAAATCTGCTGGAAAACTTTTAGGAAATTGGCATGTCGTCGTTGAACAATAAAAATCGTGGTTTATCTTAAACCAGAAAATCCGCGGAAATAAGTACATGCAGTAAACCACGAATCAAATTAATCCACAGCCACAGTATCCATATTTTGATTTTTTCTATCCTTTTTACACTAAAAAATAAGACCCTAATATTTAGCTTTTGTCTTTATTGGATATTAACCCGAAAGCTCTAAGAACAAAACACATTTCAGAAGGTCTGAATTAATTTAATGATTAGGTTTTTGCATAACGGAGAGATAAGAAGGGATAATAATAATAATGATAACAATAATAACAATTCATTTTTCTAAAATCTAAAATGTAAATAAAATCATGAACTAAATTAATATTCATATATATTATAATTATTACGGATACGTTGTTAGTTTTGTCTTTTATCTTATTGTAACTATAGTAAAGTATTTCTTACACGCAAACCACAGCCCACATTTGACAAAAAATAGTCGAGTTTTAATGAAAAATTGAGTGAAAGCCCCATGCCACATAATCAAAATGTGTAACTAGTTACTTTAACGTTTTCAAAATGGTGTAACCAAATCATATTAATTTCAGTAAAACAGTAATGAGCCGAAGACAACCTTTACAGAGACACAGTATGGCAAGAGTTAGTTTTGACACGAGTACTGATACTGAAAGCAGTATTGCGGACACAGAGGGTAAGTATTTAGATGATTATGAAATATTTAAAACGAAACAAAATGAAAACAAATAAAACAAACAAAACAAAAAAAAAAAAAAAAAAAACGAAATAAAAAAAACTAGACAATGTGATCATGCTTTTCCCTACAAGGGATTTTATTGGATATTTATAAATACTTTTAACGATTTTAGAAAACGTTAATAAAATGCAAAGAGGAATATCTTTAATCCCGTAATCAAGGATAGGTTGCTTTTTATGCCTCCAAGGTTTTAGCAGAGGCATTTGTGAAAACACTTTAAAATGGAAAATAATTCAAAATCAATGACATAATGGTGCTTTTAGGTAAACTTTATTCTCGTCCTTTTAATTTAAATCTGACGACGCAATAACAAACCTGCTAGAAATTGAGAATTTGAAAAAATTACAAATCAGAAACAAAACAGTACCTTTTGGACAAATATTTGTTTTTCATAATTCTCCTTTGGAAGCCATTATCACACTATTTTTAAAAAAGTTATGAAAAAAGATTTTATACAAAACCGTATCCTTGTTCCTATCAGCAATGACGGTTATGCATAACTTTCTTCAGTCTGTAATATTTAAGAATCTATATCTGATTGACACCGCTGGTTAAATATATGGCATCTCAGTATTTCTATAAGTCCATCATTTATTGTAGAAGGAACTGAAGTAAGAACTTAAGAAAGTTGTTTAGTCGAACATCTTGACGACCCGGCTACATATCGTGATATTTTTTTTTCGTGAATGATGTATTTGGGAATCCTAGTTTTGCTGTGAATTCCAAGTTCTTGAGTTCGACATTCGAAATACTGATTTTTGCATATCTAAACAATATTGTTAGAGGCTTTGTCTACTCGGAACAACAACTTATTTGAAGTAGAGAGAGGATAAAGTTTCTTCAGCCTCGGGTTTCTTGAAAGATTTAGAAACCTGTGTGCATATTGTACGTAGTAGATTGAGAAAAAGCATATGAATCCATTTCTGACCAGTTTTGATCCATTGAGATACAGATTCCAGTTTTGGTTTATCTGGCTCACGCTTCCCCTATTTTCTGGCATATTCCTCAACTGCATCCATCAGTACCTCATGTTCTTCTTCTAGTTGATGGGCTAGGGAATTCGACATTTTGGGCTCACGCTATCAACTCTCGAAGTTGTTCATTGTTAACGATGCCGAGGTATCCAGTAATAACATGACTAGCGGGACTATATTTGTTCCACTACCCTCTTGTAGTTGAAAATCTTGGATGCAATAGGTTTGGTGTATGTATATGAAATGACAGATATAGTTTTATCTTGGAAGTTTTGTAATCTGCATAGAATTTTGGTGAAAAATGCTGCCAAAATTGATATCACCTAAACCCTTATTTGCAAAGTCTACATAAAAAAGACTACGTTTTCCTTATCTTTTGAAGTAGTTGTCACGGTTTTTAATAGCCTGTGATTAGCAATGTCCATTACTTTTGCAACTAATCTGTACAATTGTTGGTGTTTGGCCTCTTAAAAATTGGAATAAATTTGGTAATATGTCGACATGATATGCAAAGATTTCATTCAATCAAGTCCACATTTTAAAAACTTTTCCACAATAGATAAGAGCGTCCTGTTCCGATGGTGTTTTCTTATCGTTATTCAGTCAGTTGTTTTGGATGCAGACCAGGTTTTGATTACAGTAAAATTACATGCTATTTTATTTACATTGTTCAAGTATATCAGTTTCATTCATGATCGTCTGGCTTATTTTCAATTATATGCAAGTTCTTAGCACATACGACGGATAACGTACTCAGATATCACTTTAAAGTCAGTCTCTGGCATTTTCAAGAGTTTTTCGAAGAGACCGTTAAAGGTTTTTTTCAAAAAATCTTGTTTGGGTTTTGCCCCAAAAAATATAAACAATAAGGAAGGCATACCAGGGCCTTATAGGTTGCACTTTGTAAATACAGCTGTTTCACAAACCATGCCTCTTATGGGGAGATATATAATATTCATAGATAATTTGTTTTGTTTACGTTCTGGTTCCCAGATATGATCTTTATGGTTCATCTCATAGAGACATAACTTGGGAATGTTACCAGTTTAAATGCACATGGATAGCGGTCAAATTGAATTCTGAGGAAGACCCAAAGTAAAGGGACGGGTAGTACAGAATTTTAGTATAACTCTTAGAAGTTCGGGGCATATAAATTTTGAAAATATGCCGCACAGCCCTATGTTTTGACCTTAAAGAAATTGTAGTGCATATGAACTTTCCATTGTATGATAGAATTTTTAACGAGACTTCATAGTAAAAATGGCACAGTTTTAGTCGTAAAAAAGTTCCTATGGAAAATTACATTGTCTATATTTACAAAAGTGCAACTTAAAACTGAATTCATTTCTTTTAGTTATGCTATTTAGTGAGGAATAATAACACATATTCAGAAAAAGATCCCTAAAAACAGGTTTATCAACTTTGATCCTTTTCAATTTAGTGTTTATTTTCTGTTCTGAATAATACATAAGAAATATTTGTATCCATTACAATAAGTTATCAAAGGTACCAGGATTATAAAACAGTCGTTAGTACTGAAGACATTGAACTGATAAATTCTTTTAGTCTGTTATATTTTATATTTGTTATATACTGTTGTCACACACATAAAGATTAATGGCAATATAATATGAATTGAATGGTATATATAATGCACAATACAATAATTTACCCATAAGCTTTAATGTAATCCTTTACAGAATAACTAAAATAACGATAAAATGTGTATGAAACATTCGAAGGTTAATGTTAAGCTAGTACTGGAAGCACAATGAAACACAAGTCTTCTATGATTAGTTCTGTCAAATAAAGTCAGGACAAAAATTAATATTTTTAGCAGGAACCTATAATGGTGTGTTGTTACTATTAGACCATGTTATAAGCTAGACTCGTTTTCACCGAAGTAACACTGGTACATTGTTCTCCTTTTCCATTCCCAGATAAAAATTATTCTTATCATCTAGCAAAAAAGAAAATGAAACATTGTGTCTGTGTATTCTGACAAAAAGAACACAGAAGAAACATGAAAATAAAGTCAAAATAACGGAACTATAAACAACTGTCATACAATTGGGAGGTTGTTTTCCATTCGTTTGATGTGTTTGAGCTTTTGATTTTGCCATTTGATAAGGGACTTTCCGTTTTGAATTTTCCTTGGAGTTCTGTATTTTTATTTTACCTTTTAGCTAGCAATAAAATGCATCTACCAAAACAGGAATATGGCAGTTGTTTTTCAATTGTTCCGTTCATTGTACTTTTTTTTTTTATCAAAATCGTTAAAGTTATTGTTTCATTTAAGTCTTTGTTTCAAAAAGGGTTTATTCTATATTCTAGAATAACAAAACTATTTACAGCTATATTTGCACCATCGAAAATGTATAGGGACATTCATTTATCGAAGCAGCAAATCCCGTCCTTGGCTTCATCGGTCATGTGACTCAAAACCAAATTTTTGGCACGACGATTATCACTAGTAGAACCGAAACTGTTTACCCTCCAATAGCACAAGACTTCGTCCATGGTTTCTAATTAAGTTCATTTAAATTATGATAAATAAGGGTTGTACGTCAAGGAGACAGCAACGACACAAAAGAATATCTTGAGGGCAACATACTGTGTTCAACACTAGATAGCTGTCTTTACAATACGTCCAGCTCTAAAACTTTCCTCGTTTATACACGTTTTAAATTAATTGAATAGATTTGGCTGCAATGTTGTCTGTCCTTCGACTAGAATTTTTGTTAATTTTTTTAGCAAACAGAATTTCAAAATTTATTGTACAATCTCATGTATAGTACTTTTAAATGTTTTTCTGATAGGAATTAAGAAACCTTTTGTATCGTCATTAAAGTCATTAAATGTCATTGAAATCGGTACTTTAATATAAGTAGACCCATAACAGTTATATTCGACCACAATTTTACCTGCAATTGCTCAACAACTGAATGATTTTGATTGAAGAGTATGTCTGAAAATAAAAATAATTAAATTGTTCATTATGATTTTTTTATCTATCACATCTTATCAATCTCTTAAACATAATTGCAAATTGAAGTTGGGGAAAAAGCTTTACCAAAATGACATCAATAGTATACTATATGGGATTCATTGCCGGCTTTTTTTTCATTAGACATATGATTACAACGATCTTCTTAACGCTTAATATGTTGCATCCTCTCCCTAATTCTGGACTAAAAGACATTTTAAAATGGAATTCAAATGCAAGAAATAATAATGCTCTTGAAATTTGAAAAGTAATTTCTATTCCGATGTGAAAGTCTGAACTTTGTAATAATAAATATATTTTTTCTTCTTCAATAAATAAGAAAACCTTTAGCAATGAAGTTTACAAACAGTGTTTCATATATGTAAAACAATTGCACACTGATTGATAGTTTTTTTTATGGTTTAAAATATCATCGTGTACTCCTGAATGTATTACATCATTTTCACAAAGGTTAATGGTAGCGTGATAATTGAAGCTATCACAGAGTAAATCTCCTTTCTTTGAATAGCACCAGGTGCATCACTTGTGCAACCAATTGCAACTAAAATTTTCAATAACAAACACGTGTTGCAGGATCTCAATATTGACGACTTCAAATCCTAACCTCCTGATTGCACCCATTCATATATAATCCGACTGGCCACGTTATTACTGGTGACCTAAACAGATGTTATCCAAAGGCCCGAAATATGGTGAGCCTAAATCCATCAATTGGAAACACAACTCCAAATACTGATGGACTCAGTCGAGGATTGTGCCAGGCAATGGGTTAAACGCGAGAAAGAAGACGTAGATACTCTTCCGAATGGATTAAGGATGTGAGGTCGTTGGAATAAATCAGAATTAAAAACCTGAATGGGTCTATAAATACTCATGCCTAATCAATCTTTAAAGACCCAAATGTGTCAAAACATCTGTCCTACCTCCATGACAAATATGTTGTTGTCCCGTATATA